ATTTTTATTATTTTTTGGATAATCTATATGTATTAATATTTATTGTTTCTTGTTCTCTAAAAGTTTTTGTTTGTCTCTCAGTGTTTTCGAATTCATTTCAATCTATGGTATTTTATATAATTTAGTGTAATATATTTCGAGTAATATTCTACATATTTGGCATTTTAAGTTTTATTTTGCTTTTATTCTCACTCAGGCCATTTATACCAGATGAATAAAAAGTATGGAACCAAACTTTTTTTACTTAAACTATCTATTTTTTGTAAAAACTAATTGATGAATAATAAAGTAGATACTATAAAAATGTGATGTTTTATCAAGAATAAAATTTTTCGAAATTTTCTTTTATTTTTGAGTTCTACAAAGTTTTATTTTTTTTTAAGTGGCAACCCACTATATTGTCATGAAGATTATGGTCTAAGGATTACAACTATCTATATGTATATTTAATTTTTTGAATTTTTTTTACTTAAATTGCAATTTTGACAAAAAAATTGCATAACTCAAAAACAAAACAAAATACTATCACATTTTTATATTTATTTAATTTATATTAATTATTATTTTCTGGAGGCAAATGGTTAAAAAAAGCTCTTGGTACCATACTTTATACAGGGTGCGCCAGAACTTGCGCCCCAGAGAAAAATGCCATATTAGGTAAGATACCAGGAACATGGAAAAAATGTTAAAAAAATTTTATCTATAAAAATTACGAAGTTATGAGGGTTTGAAGTTTGCACTTTGACTCTATTTATTTCTGTTGGAAAAATAATTTTCCAAGTTTTTTTGGTATAGGCTATTAAAAGAGGAAACAAGAAATCTGTATCCTAAATTGTAACTCTGTTCAATGTTATTTGTCGCTTTTATTGGCAAAATTTTTGTCCTTTTACTAAATAAATGTAAAAAAATATATACAAGATTATCAGTATCATTAAATAGATATAAAAAAATGTCAAATGTCAAAAAACAAATGTCAAAATTTTTTGACATATAAAATTTTTTAAACACTTTTTTCATATTTCTGGTATCTTACCTTACTTGAAAATTTTCTCTGGGGCGCGAGTTCTGTATACACCTCGTATATTTTTTAACGGAATCAACATAATAGTATATTATGTCATTAAAAGTAAAGGTAATAGTTTATGTAACGAAGCTGAAGGTTAATTCAGTTGAGCTGAAATAATTATAATGATATAATAATTATAATGATTTTCGAAAGTGTTTATTGATTTAACTAGTGCAGTTAGTAGAGCAAAATGATGATCTACATTGTACGAAAAAAGACATTATAAATGTCATGGCAAAAGTAAAGACACTTAAGCAAAAAAACAAAGTTTTACTCCATTGTTGAACTCTACTTGTGATAGTCATAAAAGTGGTTACCTACTTTTGTGACGTTTGCGAATAAAATATATTTTTCTCTATAAGAAAAGAATATTTTTACTTACAGCTTAGAATTTAAAATTTTATAAAATCGTACACTTTTCGGAATTCGTACTCTTTTAGTAGGTAAATTTCGTTTTTATTTGTTTACTGTTTAAACGCTGAATGTTTTTAATAATAATAAACGGTTTTAGCATTTTATTGTTTAGAACTGAAGCTTGCAACTATTTAGTTTTGAACAGATTTAGTTGTGCACTATTTCAGTATTGCTACGGTCCTTGTTGCTTATAAAGTTTTTTTGTTCCACTTTCAAAAAATTGGCAATATTGAAGTTGAGTTTTACATTACGAATTTTCAAAGTGGGTTTTAGATCAGATAAAAATTTGAGTCATTAAACATTACCGGTGATTTCAGAGGAAAGTATTAAAAAGTAAAAGATAAATATTATAAAAAATATAGTCAACGATTTCAGTGCACTATTGACTAAAAATGTGAAAATTATTAAAAACAAAAATACGAAGATGGTGAATATGATTTAAACAATTTTTAAAATTTAAAATTAAAAGTCTCACATAAGGTAGTTGTTTTTCACGCATTCTATTGTAAACACTTTATAATTGTATGTATGTGCATGTATTTTAAAATGAGAATCGATATCTACTGCAAAGAATATTTTAATTCCATTATTTTTTTATAGAAATTTAAAAATCGCTTTTATTTAAGTAAATTTATTTATTGCATCATGAGTGCTTGTCCAGCTTCAGCACCCATGCTTAAAATGACGGTACTGGAAATTGTTATCATACCTAAACGAACTTTAAGAATGTCACTAGAATCTCGAAAATACTTAAAGTGTTGTAATTAATGGAAATATGTGATCAAAAAAGCTTTACATAAACTGTAGCAAATAATAGAGCAATGAAAATAATCGACCCCATAATGACATAAATTGGCATTAGTGATTGTACGAGTTTAACAATCTTTTGAAGCCATCTACAACAAATATTTAGAGCCAGAAACCCCGCTGTTGACCGAACTTTTTCATAAAAATATGGTGTGAAACACACAAACGCAACCCTTTGCAAACTCTTGTCTGATAATTTTTGCCCTCAACCATTTTTATGTCGTTTAAATTATCGAAACCTTCAGAAATTTGGATGATTTTCTGATTAATTAAGATTATTTGCATTTGTGTTCGTAGAATTGCGTGGTGTTATTTTATTTTTATGAAATTGAATGATCTTTAATGATATATTGTCTAGAAAGATTAATGGGCAATTTTATTGTGAAAGATGCCAGAATTTTTTAAAGAATTATCAAAACACTAATTTTTACTAGCTTTTTTTTATTAGAATACTGATATTACAAACAGTGGATTAAAATTTTTAATGTACCGATTATTAAAGCTCTAATGCGCTGCTTAAATAAACAAAATAAACAATGACTTAATAGTTTTTTAACACAGTGGCGCAGGTAGAGATAGGGGGGGGGGGGGATGTAAAAAAAATACGCTATTTTTTTTTGAGAGATTTTTAAATTGAATTTACTATTATATTTGACATTTAAAATTTTTGTCAACAATTTTTTTACAACAATTTCTTCTACTATGCACAGAGTGTCACAAAGAACATTTTGTGTAACTGAAAACAGTCACACAAAATGCCCATTATGACATCGAAATAGAAAAAAGTCCTTAAGCTTTGAATTTGAATTAGTATTTAAATTTGAATTAGTGAAAAATTGCTAACTTGAGCGGGATTTGAACCCCAGATCTACCTGCCGGAAAGCTTGACCTTATGCCGCTACACCACCACGCCGCCAACAGTCTCAATGTTTTTTTCAAAAAAATATTCCTTGCATTCTTACAACGTTTTTGTACTTTTTTAATTCTCTTGAACCTCCAAGAGTGAAAATAGTTTAATTTTGTAGTTTTTAATTTTTGGCGAGATTTTACGCAATTTTTGATTTTCGATTTTATTGCTAATAACTTTGGAATTATTGACGCTAGTCGTTTTTGTTTGGTACCGTTAGAAAGCAAATTTAATTTTTTATCATAATTGTCCTACGTTAAATAGTTATCGAGAAAATTGCTGATAAAGTCAAAAATATCCAACGATATATCGAACGATCAAGAATTCAGCATTTAGTTTTTTCGACGCCAATCGATTTTTCGGAACATTTTACATACCACGTGAATAAAAAGTGTGGAACCAAACGTTTTTTGCTTAAACTATTTATTTTTTGAAAAAAACTAATTGATGAGTGATAAAGTACTATAAAAATGTGATGATTTAACAAGAATAAAATTTTTCGAAATTTCCTTTTATTTTTGAGTTCTAC